GTTTTTTAGTGTATTAAACCCTCAACCTTACCGCTGAGCCACAGGGGGGGGGGGGTCCGTTTTAAGCAAAAATTCATGATACATTGTAGATCAAACAATGTGTTTTTTGAAGTGTTGATTCAGAAAACTTATGAAATATCTGTCTTGAAAAAGTTACAGTTGTTTTGGAACAATGAAGCTCTATTGTCATATATGATTAATGATATAAAACACAAGTAGTATAGTTCCGAAATAGGTAAACCTATTTTTAAAATTTTGAAGTATATTTCCATTGCTAAAATTTCTAAACTTAAACATTACTTTCTTTTAAGTTTTGTTTTATAACTATTTTCAGCTAGATAATAATTTGTATATTGTAAGAAAGTGACAACGTTTATTCACTACATTTGAGAAAATTCAGGATCTCAGAAACTATTCTTCAATTGAAAAAAAAAACATTTTTGCCTTAGCCCTAACGTTTTTGAACAAATTCTAAGATACAGTTATGGATACTACTTTACCTGAGATCACTTCTAGATAAGAACAGACAGTACCTTTAGCAGAAAACTGCCTCGAGGAAGAGTGGTATATTTCCAATGCAACGGCCTCCAGTAGCTCAGCAGTAATTCTGAGAGCTTAAAACGTTAAAAATCGGGTTTCGATACCCGCAGTGGGTACACCACAGATAACCAGTCCCTTGTGTAGCTTGGCGCTTAACAAATAAAACCATTGTGACGTATGATTAAGTCCTTTTAAGTTTTTATTCCAGCTTTACAGATTTTACAACAGTTAGTTATCTTTAACATAACTGTTTCAAATGAGCTTACAATTAATTTCCGTGAATTTGCATAGACGATAGAATAAAGAAATACAAAGACATGAGATATTTTGAAAAAAAAAGAGAGAGAAAACGATAATAACACAAGACAAGCACGCTATTAGGTGATATATAGAAAACTTCTAAATGAATAAATAAATAAAACCCAAAAATTACAAATTAAATATATCAAACCGTAAAACCAAAAATTGAGTGTTAGGCTAGATGTCAGAAATATAAAATTCTGTACTATAAAAAATATCTAAGTGTTCTTTATCAACAAATATTTAAAATGTCAGCTTATAATAAAACATGCACAGAGACTGTACTCGCAGCCTCCAAATATTCTTTTTTATAGCCTTGAAGCTACCATTTCTTGAAGATTTTATCATGACAGAAGAAAACTGCATATTTATCTGAATATTCTTGGATCTAATTTTTGTATTCTTGATCCTTTTGCTGTTTTTACTTTTATTAGAAGACACAGGCTCCACATAAAATAAGGGTGTTATCATCAATCCTCTTTGAAAGAAATAAGAATTGGTGCATAGTGGTTTATGTTGGTTCTAAAACAACAAATATAATTTCTCTTTACTTCAGCTTATTAGTCAAATGGGCATTGTTTTAAATAGTAATGTGTTGTTAAAACAGACATACTGAAATGATTGAAACCTCATTCTTTGGGACATAAGATTTGTTTAAACTTTTAGAATATTGTGTAATTTTCTATATATCTGTGAATGGAGAGTGAAAATTTTCTATATATATCTGTGAATGGAGAGTGAATTTATATGTTTTTTGTTTTTCTGTTTGAATTAAAAATTACTTGTGAATATCTTGTATCGTTGTAAAATTCAAGGAGTTTCTTGTCAGAAATACTTCACTATGATGTTTGAACAACTAGCAAACATCATTAATGATCCACTTTGTCCTCATCCATAGAAGGATGTTAGGCTCCTACTAATGTATTTGTAACCTGCTACTAGGCTTAGCGTTATGGTTAGTGTGCAGGGATGGGGGTCAAAGAGCCCAAGGTTCGAGTTGTGATGTCGCTGAACATGCTCCGCAGATTCACTGTGGGTACGCTCAAGAGGTGACAGTCAGTCCCGATATTTGAGGCAACAGATTCTGCTGTTTGGTTTTTCTCTTGTCAATATTCCAAAATTATGGACGGTTTTATCTAAACCATACGGGTCCCTGCATAGCCCAGGTGAGTTTCACATTGAAATTATAATTTTTTGCACTTTTTAAATAAGGGTATTTAAGGATAGTTCAATGACAACATTTCTTCGTGGCACATAAACCCTAGAATTATAAAGATGATCAGCATTACATTGACAACCCCCAACTAGCAGAATGCCAAAGTATAGGAATGGCAAGTCACTTTTGGCCTTATTTCTATTTCATACATTTATTTTCTTTCTTACAAAACCATTAAAGTCCAGCCAAGTTAACAACTCATATTTCGGTTGGCATTAACAACGTGACTTTATAAAACAAAGGCTATTAAATATAATCTTGGTCTACCTTAATGCACCTTCAAAGCAAGAACTTAGGTGGACCGTTTCACAACGAAAAAACTTTACACACAGCATACAACACAAATAGGTGGGTTTTCTCGCAATAGTTTATCGACTACAAGTTTTGAAACCGATTTATATTACTTTTTCCTCCATGTTGCTGAAATCGTAAAAAGTCAAATGTTGATTACGGTAATTTTCGGGAATAAAATAACCCCCAGAAACACTATACACAGAAACTTGCTATGTTCGTGAGAAAGCTTTTCCCGGATGTATCTCCTATAAAGATATTTAGCTGTTTAGATGAACACAGTAATCAACATGTATTCTCTTTCAGGTCTCACTTCATCATTTGCTCGCATTATCGTCTAATAGTTACCCGGAACTCAATAAATAATAAATAAACCAAAAACAATTTTGACTGTAAGTCGAGGCCTGCAATATTCTGGAGCCACTATAACGATATCAACAGAAATAAATTAAACTAGCGAGGTAAATCATATGTACGCATTAAACAGACATCATTTAAAACAATTTTTCTTAAGAAGCCTCAAAGGGTAAGTCTGAGGGCTTACGACTAAAAAATTGGACCCGTGGTAGGCACAATACAATTAGCTCATTGTGTTGCTTTGCGTTTAACATCAACAGTTTTTCTTAAGATTTATTTGTTTGTTTGTAGTTAAGCACAAAGCTAAACAATGGACTATATGTGCTCTGCCCACCGCGGGTATCGAAACCCAGTTTCTAGCGTTGTAAGTCCGCAGACATACCACTGTGCCACTGGGGGCTTTTCTTAAGAAACTATAGATAAACAGTAAATCAAGATTTGCCACATAAAGATCGGACTTAATTGAATATAGTGGAAAATATAACATGATATATATGTGCATTATATATATATATATATATATATTAATCAAGTTGTCTTTGAAAACATTTTACTTGAGTATACTATAAATCTTTCATTAATTACTTGCTTTTGCTGATATTAATTCAAATAGGAAAATAACGATAAGCTTTCTTATTAAGTACGAAAGCATACTGAAAGATAAAATGATTAATCCAATTATTCTTTTGATTTTCAAATTATAGTCAATTATTGAAAAAAATATAACAGTACTGATGATCTTTATAAATCTGTAATTAAAAAAATATAACACTAATGATTATCTTTATAAACCTGTAATTAAAATATATAACAGTACTGATTATCTTTATAAACCTATAATTAAAAAAATATAACAGTAATGATGATCTTTATAAACCTGTAATTAAAAAAATATAACAGTAATGATGATCTTTATAAACCTGTAATTAAAAAATATAACAGTATGGATGATCTTTATAAATCTGTAACTAAAAAAACATAACAGTACTGATGATCTTTATAAACCTGTAACTTTCAAACAAAAAAGGCCTAAACTATGATTGTGGTTTTCAAACTTTCACTTGTATATGTCATGTATTAATATGTGTGTATAGGTGTACATTTTTAATGGATATTAAATAAAACAGAAAGCTCAGTGTAATGTGTAGTAGTACAAAAAAAAACTTAAAGTATTTTAGAAAGAAGTTATGTCTGAATTAATGCAACGTGATCGTTTAATTAGGTTTTTGAGACAACACGAAAAAAAAAAAAGACAAAACACATTGCTTACTTATAATTGAAAGCTCTGCCTTGGAATACCTCGTCCTAGCTACACGAAAATCTACTCGACATTTATAGGTCCCAGCATCCCCTTCGATAACAGGATCGAGTATCAGTAGAGCCGGTCTCGCAATAACACTGAACAAGGCACGATCCGAAAGACTATCGGTTGGAGAATGGTGGCCAAGGCTTGTATGTCCTCGTCTGGCGTCAAAACTATATAGTGGATTTGAAGTATCTCCTCTGTACCACAGCACCAAAGATACGTCATCGTTTGAATTAGGGGGTGTGATATTACAAGGAATGGCTGTTTTCATACCTGATATTCCGACCACTTTCTCTGGAAAAAAATAAAATAAAAAAATGAAATGGTAATTATCTACTTTTTTTGTTAACTAAATCTATTGTCTCATCGTTTGTCATTTTTCACAACACCGATTTCCCGAGATCTCGTCCTGGCCAGTACAATAGAGAGAAAGAAAATTATAATTTTGCTCGTCTGTTGTCAGTAATTATTGATCAAAGTAAAAACTTTAATATGTTATATATTCCGTTATATCTATTCATTTACTTCAATTAGTTAAAGTGTACACTACTCTACGTTATTTTGAAACTATATATGGGTAACTAAATACATATTGAGTCATACACGAAAATTACATGCTTTTCAAGAATCTTCTACGAGATCCGACTTTTATTGGTGGGAACCACTTTTAAGCTGCATGTTATTTTGAAAAGTGCTGAAGCACGGTGATTCAAAGTCTTTTGTTTTTGTACTTAAAAAAATGACTTGTCATATAAACATATGGTCATACCACGAGCTGATGGTTAAGGCATTCGACTCGTAATTTGGGGGTAGCGGAATTGAAACCCGTCGTCAAACATTCTCACCCTTTCAGCCTTGGTGGCATTATAATGTGATTGTTAATCTTACTGTTCATTGCTAACGAGTAGCTCAAAAGGTGGCTATGGGCGGTGTTGACTTGCTGCCCTCCCTGTGATCTATCACTTCAAAATTAGGGACGAGTGTGTACAAATATTCAAAATTAGGGACGAGTGCGTATAAATAGATATCGAGTAGATTTGCGCATAAGTCAACAAATGAACAGATAATATAAATAGGGCAAACAGTTTTTCATGTTTTCACTTTCTGTGCCACGCGATAGACTTTAGTTATTTACTATAGACATTTTAAACTATCTTCGTGATCTCTCAGGGTATTCGTTTTCAAATACAACTCTGCTAATTAAATCAACTTTTTCTACTGTTAAATGTATTTATCATGTCTTATGGGTCTTTAGTGTTCTCAGTCGGGATTTCTTTGAAGTACTTTACCACTACAGACACTGAATAAAACATATCTGAATTGTAAAGAAGAAAAACAGTTAACACGTCTTTTATGTGTAAAACTTGATGACAGAAGTTTTTCGCTGAGACACGAACCACTACAGAATTCGTATGCGTCAAGATCGATTTTGAGGAGACTGAGGTTTGACGAAGTTTTCAGTTCTCGTCGAAAAGGGAAATCGAGACGAAAAAAGAAAAATATTTTAGAAAGAATGTGCCAAATGTTCTTCGATTAGATACGCTTATTTATCAGATAAACCAAAATGTTGTTTTTTTTATTTGAGTAATTAAAGCAATGTGAACAAATAATAGTCCTAATCTTGCTAAGAATGATCCGTTTCGGTGTACGCCTGGAAGTAAACTTTTCTTCTACACAATGTGTTCAGTAAAGCTGACTTAATCAAACATTTGTGTAATATCGCAAAGAAAATTACTTTAGTTTGTAATCCAGATTTCTAGGATTGTCTTCACGTGTCATTTACGAATGGTTTATTTTTCACTATTCAAATACGATATATAATCTAAAGATGGTTTTACACAAGTAGAGATCAAAGCTATCTTAACATCATGTGTTATCATTCTTATATGTAATATCCTGGAAAACTTACACGATGAAAATAGAGATATCAGGTTTATCATAGATATCTAATGCCATAGAAAATAATGCTATTTTCGTTGTTGAGTAATGATGCATAAATATTACAAACTGAAATATTACAAATTGAACTTTATCTACATAATACGTTTTCTTCAAAAGATCGTTTCATGTAAGTATTGATAATCAATGTGATCGGAAGATGGTCGTAAAGTTTCAGCTTTTTAGTGAAATTAGGCTACAAAATAAAACTAGATGTATTTTTCATCCAGTCTTAAGAAATTACAACGCTAAAATTTGGAGGTCTTATTTCCCGCGTTGGACAGAGCACATATAACCCATTGTGTGGCTTTTCCCTGAAACAAACAAATGGTTTTTAATAATATTTTATCTTCGACAGCTTAAAAAATAAAAAAATATATATTTATGATTCTAACAATTCTTTATTAATCAATATTTATTCACACAAATCAACAAAACAATACACTTGTTGTATATAAAAAATAATAGTATTGTCTGTTGTCTGTTCATTTAACTACTTCGCGGGGGTGCGGATGGATCTTCATCGAATACATACACATTTCCAATTTTGCTTTTTGAGTTTTGCAATTTTTGTTGGCGTTTTTAGTTTTTTTTACCACTACTTCGCCCCTGTAGACTTATCTTCGCCAAATTTGATATGGTGGTTTATTGTATCCATGGGGAGATACATACAAATTTCCAGTTTTTCATTTTGAGTTTTGCGTTTTTTATCACTACCTCACCTCCTATGGATGGATCTTACCCAAATTTGGTATGAATGTTCATTGGGTCCATGGGGAAGCAACTTTTCATGTCCTAAGATAACCTTTCATTAATCATGAATTTACATAACTTCCGTCCAGGGGACGCGTACTCCAGCTAGTACTGCATATATTAGCAACAATCATATGTTTCTAATGTATACTCCAGCTAGAATGAAAATAATATCGTGTAATTAATCGAGAGAAAAACCTTTAGCAATGCAAAACACATTGTTTGGATATAGCACAACCGTGTTACATGCATGAACTGAATGCGAAATCTCCAAATGGATTACGCAATAGCCTGCAACAATGAACTTCTCATATTACAATGCAATAAACGTAATCTGTTTCTAAAAATTATCGCGATATTCTATATCTTATCTGTGAATTTTCCAGTATTTCTTATCACTCTGGCATATTGAAAGCACACATGCTCTCACGAACAAGTTTATACAAAGTGATGGATCAGCTAGGAACTAACTTGGTGAACTAGAAAGCGTTAATTTTGGGTCAAAATGATCAGTAATTAGCTATCGCTACGCTTTGATATTAAAGCCATACAGGATTTTTATTCTTTTACTTAAATCGTTAGAAGTACTTTCATATTATTGATAAACATATTAAATATGTTACTTCTGTTGCACACAAACAAAAGATAAATAATGGCTGAAGACGGCTTGAATGGGTAATGAAGAAAAACTTTAATATAACAGCAAATGTACAACGTTTCGACAAGGTTTTGTCATCATCAGGTACATCATTCTAAATACCTCACTTTCAAAACATTTAATACATAAAATCAACGTTTTCAGTTTTTTTAAAGCTTGAGGTACGATTAAAAAATCCCTGGACCGCCTCACATTACTAACTGGTTAACGGTTTTACATGCGAGACCTTCTGCTCATAACGAAGACGTGTAACCTGGCATTACGCCACGGACTGCGTATAGAATGAAAATTGAGTTACAGCAAAACAATAAAAAAAACCTTTAATTATTTATGATTTGTAGTATTCAAATCAGTACTTGGATATATTTATAAAATACTCTTTTTCTGGATATATTGAAAAGTGTACATTTTTAAGCCTAATTTTGATATCTATTGACAATAGCTTTCGATCTGCCCCCCCCCCCCAGTGGCACAGCGACATGTCTGCGGACTTACAAAGCTAGAAATCGGGTTTCGATACTCGTTGTGGGCAGAGCACAGATAGCCCTTTGTGTAGCTTAACTACAAACAAACAATTACAAATAAAAGCTTTCCATCTCTTTAATAATCCAGAAAAATACGACACATCATACTTACGTCACATAAAATTAATATATCCCCTGGCGGCTCAGCATTAAGCCATTGGGATTATAGCGCTAACAATCAGGTTTCTATACTCACGGAGGATACAGCTCAGATAGCTTGTGGGAGTTTTGCACTTAAACGCAAACAAAAAAAAAGAAATAAAATTTTTCTACTGTAGTATCTACATTAGAGTTATTCCCCATGTTAAAATGTACCAACGCCTTATTAGCGTTTTCACACATATCGTAAATTTACCTTGGTTTTATTGTTTGATTTACCGTAATTTTTACATAATTGTATTTTACTACTGATGTGAAACGGTATAGCACCATGAAAAATAACTAAATTGAAACAAATATATTTTAGAGTGTATATTTGTTTTTAAACCCCCAGGTTTATCAATAATACCCTATAAAAAGAAGATCTATTACTCTAAGTGTAAGATCAATATATCACAAAGGTATATTGTTTCATGGAGACAAAACTTTAAGTTCACGGATTTAACTTGAAGGTTTTCAATGTTCACTATTTTTTAGAGCTAAGTATCATAATATGATACTACGTGAAAGAAGCATTTACTTTTTATTGAGGAAATGCTTTTCATAACCGAAAATAAACTTATTGAACAATGAAGGTTTTCAATGTTCACTATTATTTAGAGCTAAGTATCATAATATGATACTACGTGAAAGAAGCATTTACTTTTTATTGAGGAAATGCTTTTCATAAACCGAAAATAAACTTATTGAACAATGAAGGTTTTCAATGTTCACTATTATTTAGAGCTAATTATCATAATATGATACTACGTGAAAGAAGCATTTACTTTTTATTGAGGAAATGCTTTTCATAAACCGAAAATAAACTTATTGAACAAATCCTTGTACATACATAGATAAAACATTTACAATATATTCAAATTCGCTCATTTGTGTTGAGTAGAAATTGAGTATAGTTTATTGAATGGTGTGAGAATATATATATAGATAATATATAAACATACACGTTAGAGGAGGCTTATCTCACGTATAAAGAGCCATACTTGTTGTATATATATATATACCAGAAACTAACTCATGTTTCCAAAAGGCTGTAAGTGGCCAAGATAGGAACATCCTGATATTTCCAATCTAAATATATATATATATACATAATACATTGTATATGGTTGTCATTGATTTCACACTGAAAAAACACTGAAAACATTGACGTTTTCCAATCTAAATATATATATATATATATATGATAAATTTTATATGGTTGTCATTGATTTCACACTGAAGAAACACTGAAAACATTGACGTTTTTGCTAATTT